GATTTCATAAGAAAATGTCTGTTGGGTGCTTACTGAGTATAGGGCCTTAGGTAAGAAGCTGGGAAGGCACTTAGAGATTCCCTGCCCTGGAGAGCCTATAATTTCAGTAGTGAGATAGGAGACACACATAAAAGAAAAGTGAATTATTAAATGAGTGTATTAAAAAGTGCCATAATTCTTTAGGAAGGCCACAGACATAGAGGTATTTGATAGGTAAGGCATTGTGAACAGGGATATTCAGTTGGGACATAAAGCAAAGGCAGAATAACTTTAGAATACTTTACAGTTGTACAAAAATTTTGTGTCATTTAATTTGCTTGTTATAATTACCATGACCATTATTAATTTGCTCATTTTTTAAGCTACTGAACCTCAAGGAATTTTACAGTAAAGTTGGGAGTCAAATTTAGGCATTCTGTTTTATTGCTTATTCTATTCAATAGAGGACTTAGACCATCAGGTAGACTTTTTCTGGGAAAGTTCATTATCAAAATCATGGAGGTAGTATAATGCTAAACAGCATGGGACCCGGTGTTCAGATCCTGGCTTTATTCCATTTTATCTGTGTGACCTCTGACAAATTGTTTCATCTATTAAAAACTCCATTTCATCTGTAAAAAACTCCATTTCATCTATAAATCATGAAAATATTAGTTTCTCATAGGGTTGTTTTGAGAATTAAACAATGTGCAAAGTACTTAGACTAGTATCTAGCATGTATTAGGCTGAGAGTTCTCAAATTTGGAGTTTTAGGACATTTTACACACTTAAAAATTATTGTGCACCCTAAGAAAATTTTCATGTGCATTTATAGCTATCAATATTTACCATATAATGATTTTAAAGCATTTTTGTATAAATTAATTAAAATTGTAATAATAAACCTGTTGCAAACTAAAAGAACATTTTGTAGGAAAAATACTATTTTTTCATCCAAAAATTTGTAGTGAAAAGAATGGCATTGTTACACTGTCACATTTTTTTTCAAATCTTTATCATTTGCCTCTATGAAATAAAGCTAGATTATCATATCTTCTGCATGCAATCTATTGTGTTATGTTGTTTTTGAAGAAGTAATATGAAGAAAAACTGGTATTATACAAATATGGTTGGAAAATGGGGGAGTATTTTCAAAAGATTTTTATATAATTGTGGATATTCTTCTTTAATACTATACTAAAACTACATAAGTGATCATTTCTTAAAGATTAATTGCAATGTGGAATCTGAAACTCTATCAATGAACATTTTAAACTCTGATACATTAAAGTCCATTGATCTATTATGTACTTTTTAAAAAATATATTTTATTTATTTATTTGAGAGAGAAAGATAAAACATGAGCGGGGCCGGGTTGGGGGGAGTGGAGTGGTGGGGAGAGGCGCAGAGGCACAGAGGCAGAGGGAGAAGCAGACTCCCTGGTGAGCAGGGAGCCCAAGGCAGGGCTCAATCTCAGGAGCCTGAGATCATGACCTGAGCCCCAAAGGTGTATGCTAAACCAACTGAGCCACCCAGGTGCCCCAACCTATGATGTACTTTGAATCGATCTCTTACTGATGCATAATTTTATAGCATCATGCATTGGTTATTTGAAAACTGTTGAAAATTGAAAAATTGGTTATTTGAAAATTAACTGAATTATTCTGATCTTCCAAATGTTGACGCATTTCCTTATACAGCATCAGAAAATCACATTCATTAATGTCACCACCAATCACATTAGAAAAGTCTTTAATTATTGGGAAGATCTTAAGCTTATGACGGTGGATACAAGTTTTTTATATTTCTTATTTTTGCTTGAAATCTTGAATTTTACTATTAAAAATGTTAATTGTTTTCTTTGAAGTATAAACTCACATTGTTCATTTTTGAGAAAATTTCTGCCAAAAAAATCTGAATAATGTAATTTGTCATTTGTTCTTATGAGCAAAAAAGGTTTTCCATGTAAAAAGCATCTAGTACTAATCTCAAATTGTAACTCAATTGCACAACTAATTTTTCTAGAGATGACCACTGTACTTTCAGTCTGCAGAGGAAATGCTTAAGTGTATATTTTCCATTTTATCACATGGAAGAGTAAAAAAGACATATTCAAGGATTGTGATTCAATAATATTGATAATTTTAATGCTTCATGGATATTTGTAGGTGAATCTAAGATATGTATTTTTTTCTTTTTTAGCTGTATGGCGGTAAAGGATTCAGTAATAACAGTACAGTTTTGTACTCGTGCCTTGATTTGTGCTGAGACACTAGCAGTTTTCTCCACCTTCATTGAAAATGTCAAACAACATTTGAGCATTACAAAATAGATACTGATCACAGGAACCCCTGTCTCAGGGTCTTAGGGACTTCAGGATCCTTGACCACACTTTGAGAACCACTGTAGTAGGCATTCATTATTATTACCATTAAGAAGAAAGATACTGTACTAGGTCTGTGCAAAGAATTAGTAGAACAGGTAAATGAGAATGGCAGATTCATGTAGGAAGAAGTAAGAGATTGTAGAGTTCTATTGCTAAAGTGATCTGTATTAAAAAAATTAAACAGGGCGCCTGGGTGGCTCAGTTGGTTAAGCGACTGCCTTCGGCTCAGGTCATGATCCTGGAGTCCCTGGATCGAGTCCCGCATCGGGCTCCCTGCTCGGCAGGGAGTCTGCTTCTCCCTCTGACCCTCCCCCCTCTCATGTGCTTGCTCTCTCTCATTCTCTCTCTCTCAAATAAATAAATAAAATCTTTAAAAAAAAAAATTAAACAAATACACAAGACCTAACATTTTACTTTGTAACAGGCTGCAACAGGATGTCCCCTTGTAGCATAGAGGAATGATTCTATCAAAAAGAATGTACAACTGTTAGATGAATATAAGCTATATAATTAAGTAGTCCACACAGTGTTTGTGGATTTGAATTGTTCACTATTGTTCAAGTGTGTTACTTTTATGTATCTAGTTTTGTCAGACTTTACATGATATCCTCCATGGCACCCAGCCCAAGGGAAAAGGTAATTATATATACTTACTGAACGATTATTGATTACTATGCAAGCCATATTTTATAGTCAAATTATGTGTGTGCTTCAGTATCACAGACCCAGGAAGGGTGATTTTGTGCTTAATAGATATAATTTTGAAAGTTATATCTAGGTGGCATTTCTTTTACATGCTTCTAAAAGAGACGTATTGTTCTATCCCTTCTATGTGATCTCTCATTTACAATTATATTTATCTGGAAAGGAAAATTCACTAAGGTAATCATATCCATTAGGTTCATTGTACTGGAACCAACATTAAAATTTAGAATTAACTTATTTATATAGAACTTTGTATTTTACAGGAAACTTTTTTTTTTAAGATGAAGAAAAGTTGTTTTTTTTTTTTTTTTTAAGATTTTATTTATTTGCGAAAAAGAGAATGAGAGAGAGAGAAAAAGATGGAGGGAGAAGGTCAGAGGGAGAAGCAGACTCCTGCTGAGCAGAGCCCGATGTGGGACTGGATTCTGGGACTCCAGGATCATGACCTGAACCGAAGGCAGTTGTTTAACCAACTGAGCCACGCAGGCAACTGACAGGAAACTTTTTGATATATCATCCTCTCATTCAATATTCCAATCCTGTGAAATCTAAAAAAAAAAAAAAAAAAAAAAAAAATCCTGTGAAATCTGGGGTCTTTTCCTCATTTGACTGTCCTTCCTAAATGACCCCAGGCCACGAGCTGAGCTTTGAGAAATAAGCCTCTAAACTAGATCTGCTGATTTTTGTTTAGTCTTAAAACAAATATACCATGTTTACCTTCATTTTAGATTAAAAATATGTAATTTATCACACTGCTCCATGCAATAAAAATGTTAAAACCTTCCTAAAATATCCTTTGTAATTGGACAGTCAACTGACATTGTAATAGTACAGTAAAAATGCTTGCAGCTCAGCCTCTGTTTGCCAGCAGAGGCTGCTCTTAGGTTAGTGATTACCTTGAGATTACAGCGTATCAAGAATATTAAGCAGCTGAATGGAAGCTACATTATGATGTAATTATGCAGAAGTTAGATTTAAATTGAATAATAACCACTTGAGTGACTCTCACACATGTGTTAATCCCCACATCATCAGAAATTATGCTCTTTACAAAGATATCTCTGAAGCAGAGCAGAAAGTGACATTCTTGAAATGAAAACAGTTTATGGCTTGCCAGGAGCTAAGAATTGCTAATTTAGAAAATCAGAAAAAATCTGAGGCTTATCAGAATGGATTTATAAAATCATACACTTATTCTTATCATAACATTTCTTTGATTTGCTTAAAAAAAGTGCAAATCAGTCCACATCTGTTTAAACCAATGTAAAAATAAAAGTAATTGCACATATATGAGAAACATATTTTGTTATATTTTTAAAATTAAAAAAATATATTTACTTGCTAATAAGCAGAATGGATAAAATGAAGCAATGATGTAAGATAGACTATTTTATTTTCTTAATAGTTCCATGAGTGTGCAATGTTCATTTCCCAAAGAATGACTGTAAAGTTTGAATTCTCTTCTGGTAATTCAGACATATAAAATTAATTAAACCAAATACTTTTAAAATGGTACTTTAAGGGGCGCCTGGGTGGCTCAGTTGGTTAAGCGACTGCCTTCGGCTCAGGTCATGATCCTGGAGTCCCTGGATTGAGTCCTGCATCGGGCTCCCTGCTCGGCAGGGAGCCTGTTTCTCCCTCTGACCCTTCCCTCTCTCATGTGCTCTCTCTGTCTCAAATAAATAAATAAAATCTTAAAAAAAAAAAATGGTACTTTAAGAGCATTTTATTTTAGAAGACTTAAAATATCAGAGAACATTATGAAATAGAGGTTTTATCTTCATTGTTAGGAATTTGAAGTTTGAAAAAAAATTCCTATTAGTAATCTTTTTAAATTTTTTTTTGTAAATATGCATTTGAAACCAGTAAGTATTTTAAATATTTTATTTATTTATTTGAGAGCGAGAGAGAACTAGCAGGGACAAGGGGCAGAGGGAGAAAGAGAAAGAGAAAGAGAGAGAAAAGCAGACTTCCTGCTGAGCAGGGAGTCCGACTCGGGGCTCTGTCCCAGGACTTAGAGATCATGACCTGAGCCAAAGGCAGACACTTAACCCACTGAGCCACCCAGGCACCCTGAAACCAGTAAGTATTTTAAATACCATTTAAACCATTTTGTTAGTGACAATAGGTTATCTATAACAATGATCCATAGGGGGGCTTAGCAAACTTTTTCTGTAAAGAGACAGTAAATATTTCAAGTTTTACATCTGTAAAGAAATGAACATAGCTTTGTTTCAGTAAAACTTTATTTACAAAACAGCTGGTGGACCAGATCTGGATTGTGGGCAGTAGTTTGGCAGCTCCTGATCTATAGTATAATATTACAGAAAAACTAAATGATTTTTATCAAAAATTTTTTATTTCAACACCAGTTGTTACTGTTTCATAGCATCTGTTGGGGACTTGGCATTTATTATTCTATTTATGTTATAATTAGATTAATATGTTTCATTATCTATATTTTTGCACCTGATGCCATAGATTATATACTTTTTATTTTCTTTTTTGCATTCCTCTGTTACCACCCTTTTATAAAAGTAAAAATTATAAATATAATTATTTTAATCTTAAAATGTCACTCTGGAAAAAAAGTCATATATATAATAGTTAAAACTACTAGAAATTGTAGCTCTCTTTTTTTTTTTTTTTTGCAGCAATGTTTATTTCCCCAGAGATTTATCCAGGATTATTTTTTGCTAATTTTTGTTATTTCATGCTAATATTTAAAAAATAACATATTAAAACTTCTTTATAAATATTGTGAATATGGGTTTTGTTTAAGATAGGTTTTTTTTAAAGATTTTATTTATTTGAGAGAGAGAGAGAGAGCACACAAGCAGGGGGGAGGGGAGAGGGGGAGGGGGAGGGGTGGAGGGAGAGGAAGAAGCAGACTCCTCACTGAGTGGGGGAGCCCAATGCAGGGCTCCATCCCAGGACCCTGGGATCATGACCTGAGCTAAAGGCAGACACTTAACTGACTGAGCCACCCAAGCACCCCTAAAATAATTTTATATTAGGTAATAGAATTTTAATGCTAAGATAATCCTATGAGAATGTGGATAAATAAGTTACTTTCAACTTCTTCACAAAAGAGTTTTAATTCTATATTTGTTATTTTAAAAATTTATTGTTGTATTCATGTGGCTGTTAATAGGGGGAAATTTTGATTAAGCCATTCTCAACACTGCTTAGCCAAATGGCAGACCTGATAATAATTGACAATATCAAACATTATCTAGAAGCCATAGTCCCAGTATTGTCTAACCAGTAGAAATAGGAATAATAATACAAATAATAAAAATTGGAAACAACTATATTAACCTTTATGATTGTCTGCTTGCCTACCTTGCAAAAGAGGAAATACACCTTTAAAAAAGTTTGCTTATTTGTTTAGTTAATCTACCAAAACTATTGCGCTTTTTAGGTATATTAGGCAAGAGCAAGTTATACGCTTTGCCCAAAAACTGAGATGGCATTGTTGGGATTCACAATACTCTGTACAACTCTGTGGCCAACTGATTCTCAGTTGGGAAATCACATGCATCTCTAATAGGAATTTGCCTTGGTTCAAAAACATCTGACTTCTGAATTTGTACACAAATCCTATTATTTGCTATTATGATCACAGCACTACTGCTTTAAACAAATATCTACTACTTTGCTATATACATTGGTATTAAAGATATAAATAAAATGGAAATCTATATATACATTTACAAGTACTTTTTTTTTAAAGATTTTATTTATTTATTTATTGAGAGAGAGAGAATGAGAAACAGAGAGCATGAGAGGGAGGAGGGTCAGAGGGAGAAGCAGACTCCCCGCCGAGCAGGGAGCCCGATGCGGGACTCGATCCCGGGACTCCAGGATCATGACCTGAGCTGAAGGCAGTCGCTTAACCAACTGAACCACCCAGGCGCCCCATTTATAAGTACTTTTAACTGATGAGATATATGTGCTCACTATCTTCCAAAAGATGTTTCTTAAATTTAATATATTTAAAGATACTTCATATATAATAAATACTTTTGAACCAACAAAATTAAAAGTAAAGTGACCTTCTAAAGTGTTTGTACTAAGTTCTCTGTAAGTATCATGTAAGAATTTTTATATTTCTTATAAAGAGTAATTAGTTTAGAATCTAATATGTTTGGAAAAAGTGCATCTATTTTTCTACCACAAATACTAGTTCACAATGAAAATTTTAGTCCTGAAGTTTTAAATTAATTTCATGTGAAGTCAGTTAACTGCAAGTTTGAACAATATAAATGCAATTTTTTCTTTAATTCAAATTCCACTTCTTGAAAACTGTCCTTTGGTAAACTGAATAAAAGTTTTCTTCAACTTTTTAAATGATTTACATAACTATCTTAAGACATTTCATATCCTTAATATTTAAAAATATTTTCCTATTTGGGGCATTAATATTTTAATCCTGACATTAAAATTAATGTTTTTCCATTAGGAAAAATAATGATATCATTTATTCTCAGAGTGTCTCTGTGCTTCCTTTTTTTTTTTTAGTGAAGAAAGCAATGTCACAACTAATTTGAAAGAGACTTCAGATCAAAATTGGCTTTTCTGCCAAGAAATGAAAATATAATATTTAAATTTTGGCTTCCTGATGTGCCTTCAGAATATGCATAGAGGGTATCCATATATTCAAAAATATATAATTTTAATCTAAGAGCCCAAGAAATTTGCACTTTAATAAAAGACATTTTGAATAACATACCTTGATTTCAAACTGTGTGTACTTAAGTACATGTGACTTGTGTCTATTGAAATGAAGCAGTAGTTTTGGTTACATTCAAATGCTACTAGAAATATACATGGTGTTTGGATCCATCAGAGCTGACAGTGGTTGTATGTTATCCTGGTTCATGGTGAGGTTGAGTAATATGGTATAAACTTGAGACTAGAGCTAAACTTCCTCCATTAATGAACAGATTTAGCTGTATGCTCTAGGATTAAGGCCAGGTCTTCAGACAGTACTCAGTCCTTAAAAGCCATCTCAGAATAAAAATGGGCTTCTGGATTGGACTCCTTAATCTAGTCTTACAAAAGTTACCCCAACAATCTCTTCAGTTATTCTATTAAGTAGGTACATCTAAACAATATGACTAGATCAGCTTTCTAAACTGTCCTTTGTGCAGTACTTTATTGAACCATTCTTCACTAGTGAGAATTTTTTTTTTTAATAAATGAAAGAAAGAGAAAAGCAAAAAGAGGGAGACAGAGAGAAATAAGTTATTAGATTTAAAACTTAAATAGCTTGGGAAGCTTTGCACTTGCCAGATGGAGATCTATCATACTCACAGTTGCCTTAATGTATTCTGGTACAGGAGTTGGCACAATAGACGTGCAATAAATATTTGTTGAATAAACCAATAATTGAACAATACAGAATACTGATCCTCCAAACTCTTATGGAGTGTTTCTCATATTTTTTCAATGCACGATAAATAGTACATTTATATGCTAATCAATTTTCTAAGCATTTTATAAAAATTATTTTATAATCTCCACAATTTTATTACATAGGTACCAGTATTATTTCTATTTTATGATAAGGAAACTGGCTTACAGGGAGCTTGGTTAACTTGGCCAAGACCAAATCCAAACAGATGATGTGCTCTTAATCACATAATTAATTCTACTTTACATAAATGATCTTGAACTATCTGCTATCAGATTTTTATCAGCAGTCCAGATGAGATTGTGAGATTTTGTGCATGTGTGTGTGTGTGAGTGTGGTGTGCACATGTGCTGTGGTGGGAAATGGGGTGGTATTTGATGCATATGGCCCCTACCCATATTTTAATACCAGTGTGTCTCACCTTTTTTCCCTCTAGCATAACTGAAGTATAGACTATATTTCATGGATTGGATAGTGCAAAACAGAGATAATACTTTGTTAATAAGCATTTTACTCTCAGGCATGAAGAGTAGATGTAGTTAGAAACTGATCTCCCCATATCAGGTTCTTTCCAGGTGAAGCATACCTCCCTTTTATTCTTTCTCTATTCCAGTGCAAATCTATTTTCTATATTCTCGAACTTATTCCTGAATCAAATCATATATTTGGGTAGCATTCAGAATTATGTTTATAATAACTCTGCACTACCTCCTCATACTGAAATATTGACAGATATTTCAAGAAACAATTATATAAAACTCAGTATTACATTTATTACAAGGAGGTTGTTGGGGATGCATTCCTACATGATTTAACATCACCTAAAGAGAGATGTTTCAGTCATAAAATCTATTGCTTTCCTCAAATAATTGATGCTTATATTTTGTAAATAATGTGAACTGTGAGACAGAACATGTTCTGTGTTTTGCTTTGACTACTATGGTATGATATTTTAAATTTGCAACCCTTTTTAAAATAACTTCATAAGCCTAATGACCTGCACAAGTCTGGTCTTGCTTTTACTTGATCTATATCTACATTTTCCCTCAGTCCTTAATTTTCATTGATTTAATTGAGGTATTTGAAAGGTAACCTTAATTTTTTAATGATGCAGTATAAAATAAATATATATATACAAAGGGTAAGAAAAATAATAAATATAGTAGCCAAAGCAGTCACTCAATGTCAGAAAATTGGAACTAGCATAATGCTTTAATAGGCACATGAGGGGGAGTCTGAGAACAGACAATAAGTGAATGTCTAAGTTAGCAGTTAGACAGTCAGCTTCAGAATGTCTGTCAGCCTACTCCTGAAAGATTGGAGTATGGGGCAGTTACTGAGACAAACATTTATGTATGTAATGGCACCCAGGTTTAAGAGCTAGCACATAAACTATAACAGAGGGTCTAGATGGGAAGCCCAAGAATCATTGTTGATAACTCTCTCACCTTTAACCTCTACTTTTAAGTCATCAAGTCTAGTTGAATCTGTCTGGAAAACCCTTTCATGTGATTTTCGTTATGTCCATTTCCTATGGCACCAAACTCAACTGGAATTCTGCAATGACCTTATATTTAGTCTTTCTTTTTATTTTTTGTCTTGACTAATAGCATCTTCATATTTCAGTCAGAGTTATCTTTAAAAAACAGTTGGCAAGTATATG